CATTCCTGCTTTGACAGGCGACACTTTTAACAGGCCCATAAGTTGTCTGCACTGGTACAGGCAGAACAAGTGTATAAATCATAAATCAAACGGTTCGCTGCGGCTGGGACGTTACTGCTTTTAACAGAGATGACTCAGACAGAATGAAAGAAGGAGAGCCAAAAAGATTTTTTACTGCTGCGATCCATCCGTCATAGGGTGCTTGTAGTGAATAATCAGCTGCACACCGGTTCAGCAGGTGTAAATGGCCTTTGATCGTTACAGAAGGCGATCCGTTAGAGCGTCTTTGTCCATTCTGGCCATCTGTTCGGCATAAAACATCTGGGATGCTGCCATAATTTGCTCAAACACTGAGAAATTATGCATTTCACAATTGCATTCTGACTTGATAAAATTACAGTGGTAGGACTAGTATAGTTGGCAAAACTTTCCGCGTGTCAAACCCTATATTTAAAAAATGCTGCAAATGAGATTTGGAGGGAATGTTTGGAAACGATCAAGCATTATTATGTCGGGGGCATAAAACTGTCTGCATTATATTACCAATAATTTTGCATTTAATTGCACGAAAACGGTGAACTCTCGCATTTAACTTTGGTTTACTAGCCAAAACCTGCTAAAGTGCAATTTTGCAGCCCGTGCTGCGGATTGCATTGCCGAGCAGCTGATGGATATCAGTGTCAAACTGTTAAATTAACACAATGAGTAATGAGAGTTCTGCCCTTCAACTTCACAGTGTATTTGTCATTTATGCGTGGCTTTACCTGCCACCGTGTCAGCATGTCCACATGCTGTAACAACGTGGAGTGTCATTGAGGAAACATGGCCCGAGACCTTGTTTTTTGTCCACATCCATCCATCACAGTTCCTTCAGCGCTAATCAAGTCAGCAGCGCACCTCCTATACAGATCACTGGTTTCTCACAGAAAAAACGCCTGCCCTTCACCTCATTTGACCAAAAGCAAGCCCTCCGTAGTAAAAATGATCCTAACACACACACACACACACACACTTCCCTTCGCCGTCTACAAACTGATATGCGAGTTGGATTCCAATTTCCGGTTTCTGTTTGGCAAAAAAATGGCAACACGAGGCAAGTGATGAATGAAGGGTTTATATGGGCAGTGGCCTACTTGAATGTTAGTGTGTGACTGATAGCTGCATCCATCACTCGAAAGTCATTATTCAAAACACATCAACTAACTATTGAGAAAAGTGGGTCAAAAGAAGGAGAACTTGGTGAGTGGACTGATACGACATAAGGGAGGGCTGCATCGGGGCATTTGAAGTTTAGCTCTGGCTCTCCACCCCGTGACAAATCACCGCAGCACCAGAGTTAATGTCAACGCAGCAACTAAATTAACATTATACGGGCGAAATCTGGGAGCAGAGACAGCAAAGGTGGAATTTACCTCAGGGTCTGGGGAAGTTAACACATAATCCTCCATCAGAGGAATACCTGATGAGGACATGTTTATATGTATGAGCGTCGCTGACACTTTTTATATTCCCATGAAGTGGTGTAGCAGATGGTAATAAAATTCAGACGCCTACATGTTAATGTTTCGTGCTGGGTTATATGTGTTTGTATTCATGTATGTGAGGGAGCGACGGAGGAGGAGGACAAATCTAGTAATACTGTTTTCCTCGATAATACCAAAAACAGTAAATATAGTTATCACACGAGAAAATCTTTTTGTGGGCATTTACAATATATAGGCACAGTATATTGGCATATACTACAAACCTATACTACAAACTTATAATAAAAACATCTAAAATGTGCAAGCTCCCACTTGAATTTATGAGCACCTTCACATGGAGAAATCGGGTGATGGCAAGAAATCAGAAAAGACATTTACATGCGCAGCAATAACTTGGTCAATTCCCCAACCTCAGAACTATATTTTTAACCAAGATTTAAATATTTTGAGTGAATTAATGAAATATGAGTCTGCAACCTGAAGATATTTGGTCAGACCCTTTTCCACTGGCAACAGAGAACAGCAGTGTTTGTAGAGAGCAAACAGTTTTTTCTTTTTCCTTTTTCCAAACTTTATAATTGTTTGAACACAGGAATACAAAGTCTCTGCTTTTCTTTTCAGCCTCGCTGCCACTGCTGTTAACACTATGACAGAAGTCAATGTCAGACACATGGATTCTCATAGATTTTGTTACGAATCTGGAGTTGGTTTTTCTGCATTTACACAAAGAGGAAAGTTCACATTTTTGTGAATCGAAAGCTTTAAGGGTTCTGTGTTTTTCAGACTGAATGCACAGATGGATGGGCATAAAATGCAGAGGAGAATTTGTGCTAACAAGCAAAAGCTTGTAGATTACCCAATTAATTGAAAGTGAAAGTATATTAATTCAGAATGAAAATATTTAATTGCTTGCCTAGCCTGCCTTTCCTTGATCTGACAGCAATTACCAAACCAATCCTTCATGCCGTATCCCTCACTGAACAAAATAAAAAATGGTTTGCATCCACACAGTAATATTACGGAAAAATATCCACATGTGTTTATCATTTTATCTGCATCAGTGGATATGCTTAACACGGAAAGTGAAAAGAAAAATAACAATAAGTGTGCCCTGATGCATTTTTACATTACTGAGCGATTGAGCCACCTCTCATTTCTTTACATTTTACAGTTCTGTGACTTAAAAAAACACAACATGTCCAAACATGTGCAGTATATAAGGCAAAAACAGAGTTTACAATTCTAATTAGTTTGAAAGTCAATAGTTGATATGACTACCTTTATTTTTCAACACAACCTGAACTCTGTTAGGCAGATTTGTTGAATTCCTTTAAGAAATCTTCAGGAATAGTTCTCCGTGATTCTTGAAGGATGGTAAGTTATGCTGAAAAATGAAGCCATTTATCAATAAACGCATGGTGGATCAAAATCTCACCTTACTTTGCTGCATTCATTTTTTCATATATTTTGACAAGCACCAAACCATGACAGAGCATCCACCATAATTCACAAATAGCTGTCGACGTTCACTGTTGTACCTCTTGCATGACCTCCTCTATGTATATATATTAAAGGCAATTTGAGCCAAATATTTCAATTCTGGATTCATCACTCCATCAGACCTGTGGTACCTGATCTTTAGTCAACTTCTTATGTAATCTGGCATACCTCAGCCTTTTCTCCCTTTTTCCACTTCCTTAAGTATGGCTTCTTGACAGCCACCCTTCCACTGAGACCATTTCTGATGAGGCTTCAGTGAACAGGCTTCAACTAATGGGTCAGATGTTTCTCTCAGGTCCTGTGTCAGGTCTTTGCTGGATTTTTCTATTTCTAAAGGACATGACTTTCACACATTGTTCACCTGCTTTAGATATTTTTAGGCCTGTCATGTTTTCTTTTGTCCTCCACTAGTCCGGTTCCCTCAAATTTTTTAAGCACATACTGCACACCATGCGAAGATATGCCCAGTATGTAAAGATACAATTTAAAGTTGGATCTTTGCTGAGCTGTCTGTTATGTGCAAACACAACTCTGGTTTATCCCTTGAGTTAAATGCCTTTTTTATGCTTGAATGATTCATAGGTCAGTGTTAAATGGTTTAAAGGAAAACATGAAAAGGACTGGACTGAAAATGGAAAATAAATGTTGAAAGAACTTCAGGAAGCCTGCAGAAAACAACTATCCATTTTTTGTTTTGTTTTCAGTAGTCCTAGTTGCTACAAAGCCAAATCTGTAATCATAAAATGAACAAGATATGTTTTACCTAGAACATCAATAATTATCTTCAAGTCAATCTGCACTTGCATTAAAACTTCACAGTGATGTGCTGATTGGTTTACACTTGGAACTAAGGTAACAGCTACTGATATGCACCTTTCCATGTGCTACTAACAAGTATCATTTGGGAAAGTGCAGTGAAGTAAAGTTAAGTTCAAGGCAGGAGAAAGCCAGATATTACCACTGATGTGAAGGTAGGAAAAGCCATGCATACACGGGCAAAACATGCAACAATAAAACAGAAAGAACATTGTGGCCTTGATGTCTGTGTTGCAGAAAGAGGGCAATTTCAAAGGTTGCTGCAGTACTAACAAAAGTTTAACAGCAGTGAAAAGAAAATCATTTCAGAGGTCTCGAGCAGAGAGGGGAAGCGAGAGTGAGAGATTTCTTTATTCAGCTGAAGCATAATGATTTTACGGGGCAGTGAGGAAGGAAACCGAGTGAACGGAGTGGTCTCATAAGTGGAAATAAAAGACCCTTCTAAAAATATACTGAATGCACTGTGATAATACACAGTTCAGTGTGTTAGGGCTTAATGTGATGTTGGGACACACAGTAAATCTGTTTACATGCTCACGCATGGAAAGCCCATAATTTAAATCAGTGAATTTTAGGGTGAAGACTCAGTTTAAGGTTAGGCTAAGATTAGATTAGGGGTCGGCTTTAGCAAATAATGAGGCGCTACAGTACTGTAGATCTCAGTGCAAGTCAGTGCGTTGGGTTTGTGCATACAGTCATAGCACAGAAGGCATTTCCTTTTCAGTCTGCTGCTTCAGAGGTCTCCAAGTGAACGCAGTGAATTTACTGGCTCAGTTAAAGCTTCTGTAAAGCAGGTTTTGGGCAGACTTTGGTCATGAAAAAGTTGCTGAAGGTGGCAGCTCAGGGGATAACAGTAACACAAACCCAAGAGGGAGGGAGGAAAGCAGTGACACCATAAATCTCCCTGTACAGATTATTCTCAAATGATCCCCAACCTTTTAGGCGCACACATCATGTGTGATGGGCTTCACAAATACTATCTGCAGGAATAAAAAACGGGCACACTTGAGAGGATTGACGATTTTGGTTTCCGCTGACCATTATTTATTTTCAAGTGGCAATACATGCACACAGTTTTTATTGTTTTACTGCAGTGTATTTCTAACAGATTATTATATTATCTCCCCGTGCACAGACATCACTTTTACCAATAAGCACAATTACATGTTAATGGTGTTAACAGAGACTTAATAGACTCACCTGAACACTTGCCGTGTGTCTTCTGCTGCATTTAGCTGCAACATCCTCCCAGGATTTTCTTTGTTTTGCCTGCGTTGATCATTTTCTGTCCGCTCGTCTCTGTCATTCTCACTCCAAGTGCTTGTTGATCGTGTGACTAATCAAGTGTGATGGCAGGCAGAGATCATGCTGTGGCAAAGGTCTGCAGTTTTGAGTAAATGTCAGCTGCCCCGTGTCATTTTCCATTTTTAACGCCGGCTCTGAAACTCTTGGGCAACAAACCCAGAAAAGTCTTCTGACGCAGCACTTTCTGCAGCTCTGTAACAAAAATGTTTTAATACGACTGGACTGTCAGTGTGCGCGGCTTGATCAAGCTGGTATTTCGACTTTCGACTATTACCTCATTTATTTTAATGTTTTCATTCACATTCGTAGCTGTTTAGCTGGTTTTCTCCCATTCTCCCAAATCAGAATTTGTGCTGATTTTGCACTATCCCCACCAACGACAAAATAAATTTTTACTTCATGTTTCATTTCATTGCTTTACACACAGAGCAGGCATTGTCTGCATTTCTACATATATGCACAGGTGCAAAAGAGGGAAGCTGCACAAAAAAAGCCTTTCCAACTGTAGTACCTAGTCTCTACAGAAGTGCAGTCTTTTCTAATGGAGTACAGGTGCTGCACCTTAAATATAATACATTAAAAGAAGAAATTCTGGACTTCACTCATTTCTAAATCCTGATTGCGTCCACATTTGGTTCATTTGGCCACACTTATTCACAGCTACTAAAATCTGTGGTTTTCATTATATTTAATAAATGAGTCTGGAGAGACACAGATGCAAACTGTAACTATTTGGCAGCAATCCTGTGTTGTTTCTTTAATTTGTAACTTTCATAGATGTTTTTCTTTTTCACCAAAGAGGGAGGACAGCAAAGCAAAGTACATTTATTTCATGATGAATAATTCCAATACTGATGGCATCAAGTTTAAAAGAAACATTTTCTTTATAGTTGCTCTTAAAGTGTAGTGGAACAGCACAGAACATCATCGTGATGAATTCACTGTTTGTACCTTGATCGCGTCCAAAACTTAAAAAGATAAAGAAAAGAAAAAAGAGAGAAAGGAGCAATATACAAACAATAATGTCCTTCAGTAACGGTGAAGGATACAAATACACCAGTGTGGTTAACTTTCAGTGCTTTCCCAATTATATATTGTGAGCTATTACTTAAAAGGACATTACTTACTTTTACTTTTGTAAATACACAAGATTTAGTGATATCACCACAGAAATGTTTAAAAAGAAGAACAATTAAGGGAACCATGCAAAAGCTACGGGACGCATAAGCCACTAATAATATAAAGTAGATGCAAATAAGTCAGCACCTGCTTTGATGTGTATGAAGAATGATATTATTACTTTTCTTACTACAGCGTGCAACAATTATCAATTATCATAGCGCACACATCAATGGTGTGGGATGATGTACAGTCCAAAACTGGTATTGTGCTTGACGCAATGGACGAGAGGCTTACCTTTTTGTTTTTAAGCTAAAAGAAAACCATTCAGACCTCCAACTGTTTATCATGAATTTAACCTTTAGTTACTGCATTAAATCGATACTGGACTTATTTCTGCAATGTAGAAGAGACTTGCATGTTTTTGGCTCAACTCCAACCCCAAAAAACTTGCACTTTCAAGATGTGAGGGGGGAAAAAACAAGAGTGATTTCTTTTCCAAGTTATCTCAGCAATAAAAAGTCCAGACTGTGGAGAAAAACAGCCGTCTGATCTCGGCGCATTTTTGAAGGCATCGCAGAATAGACTCTAATATGTACTGCTTTTTCTATGCAGAGGTCAGTAAAAATATTTTTCCATTGTGTGTCAGCAGGATTATGCTAAAACCAGATTTCATGCAACTTGAAAGATGGAGCATGTGATTATACAAAACTCATTTCCATTTGGGTGCAGATCACGTTTTTTGACACAGGGCACTGGCCTTATGCTACAATCATACTAAACAGTGGTTTAGTGCACAACGAACTACAGTGAAATTCGTGGAGATCAAATAGTTTTTGATAATGCAACAATTAATAACAAATCGCCAACAATTGCAAATCTGTTGCCATCTACATTCACTGAAATTCACATTAAACAGAAATTAGCTACTTACATTTAGAATCCAGCCTCATGGTTATGAAAAGGAAGTTCAGTTCTTCCACATGCAGTGGTGTGGTTGCTGCAGGACAGCAATTTCACTGCAAAATGACACAAGTACTCAACAGCCTTGCTTTTAAACGGGAATACAACCAGCTGGCAATCAGTTTGGCCTACTGAAAAGAGTTAACTGTAAATAAGTTGACTCAGCATGTTGGAAATCTGTCTGTGTTGATAGAATAGACAGAATGATTCTGTCTCAGAATGACTGCACTTAGTCCGAGTTGGACCTCGATTGTTTGGAGACAGGTTGCCTCCCACCAGGTGAGCTGTGCGTTCAGGCAACTATTTGCAATCGGTCAATGCAAGCAGAAGATTTCAGTTTTGTTCTGTTCTAACTTTAGCATTACTGAGTCATTAGCAGAGGTGCCCACTCCCAAGAGCCTTTCTGGTATGTTCTGTATATCAGAATCAGAAATCCTTTATTTATCCTGAATAAAATTATGGGTTACAGCAGGCAGCATGCTGGTAACACCATTATATTCCATAAACCTGAAACAAGCATAAACAATCTTACAGAAGGTCTTAAACTCCCTTTGACTATCAGTCGTACACTTTGTGGATTTTCCATTCTTAAAACAGGACTGAAGCGTGGACGTCTGCATTGAAAGTGTTACAAATCCCATACTGTGGATTTACTAAAGTGTTATTCCTGTTTTTGACTCTTTGGTTGTTTTACATGTGATTGCCTAGCTATAGATGCAGTGTGGTTTGAAATGCACTTAATTAAGATGCAATGGTTGTTTGATTTTGACAAAGGCATAGCCAGATATTACATGTATAGTAAAAGATCACCTCATACATCAAACATCACGTTATAGTTTGTAAAGCAAGCTACGATAAAATGTATCAACCATGTGATTTGTGGGAAATGTTTTAAAAAATGCCTTGCCCATCATTTTTCGATGCTTCTTTTTGACATAATGATCCATCTCCATAAACGCGAAGACCGAAATTGTTGCTATGAATTCATCATTCTAATACGCTGTACTGCAGGTGTGTTTGCTTTTAATCAACAACAGCCACAGTATGAACTGGAAGCCTAATCATCTCTGAAACAAATATCATCTTAGACATTTACATTTCACACATCAATTTCTTCTTCATTAAATAAAACATTTGCACAAGCCATGCATTCCACCCTGATTGCCAGGAAATGCAAACAATGTAGACACTAGTAAATGAGCTATAACTCTTACAGGGAATCCATATTACTCAGAGGAATATTTACCCAACAGCTACTGGCAACATTTAGATTAAACAGACAAATAGAAATCTTGCATTCAATATTTTCATTTTAATAATGAATCACATGACTAATTATATATGAACAGTGACCCTCGGAGACAAGCCTGCAGAGAATTATCACATGGATCCTCAGTTTATCGCAGCTGTAATAATCCTTTTACTGTTTGTCTAATTTTACAGCCTGAAACCTCACTGTTTCGCTTCACCTACATCACTGTCATGGCATTATCTGCCACAGCAGGCAGCTGTTTCCAATGAACAGGTTATAAAAACAACTGAACACTACTCACTGGCACCATTTTTGCATGTTGCTGTTATAGAGTCAGATATATTTCCCTCGAGAGGAGATAAGGAAAAGATTAAAAAAAGAGTGAGAATTGGACTTAAATTCATCAGTTGGACACAAATGTTGCTCCAAATGAATTCTAATCTCTACTAAACCCATTAAAAAGGTCGCTGTATCATTTTAAAAGATGATATGATGATGAGACTAAAAGCTGGCACTAGATTTTAAATACAAGGATTCCACCAATACTGAAATTAATACTGAGACTGCTTATTGATACTTGTGAATAATCTCACTGTTAACACTCTTGTTTTTCATCTCCATTTTATATCCAGCAGGTATAAGTGTGTTTACCAATGTGTTTCTAGGATCAAGCCTCCCTAGATATTAAAAAACAAAACCAGGCAATATAAAATAGGTTTTCTCTAGTTATCAGGAGAGTCAACGCAAAGTTCAAATTGTGTGTTAACTAAGGCCCCAATCACACAGACCAGCTATGCTCTGCAAAAGTCATGAGTCACCCTTCATTCCTTTATATTTTGTAGGAACATGGAATATAGGTGCAATGTGCAAGCATACATGGAAACAGAGCATATAAGGAAAGAAGCGGAGTCTAACAAGCCAATATTTAGTATGACCACATTTACTCTTCAGCACAGACTGAGCTCTCTTGGGCAGCTTTCTTTTAATTTCAGGAATAGTCCACAAGGCTTCTTAAAAGGCATTCACAGCTCTTCTTTGAATGTTGCCTGCCTTTTGTCCTGTTCTCTGCAATGATGATCTCACACTGCTTCAATCACATTCAGGTTCAGGTTATGTGAAGGCCAATCACATATGCCTAATGTGTGTTTTTCTACCCATGTATGTTTTTACTGCATTGGCAGTGTGTTTGGGATCATTGTCATGCAGGAAAAAGTAAGCCATTACCAATGAGATGCTTTTCAGAAATTACATAATGCGTAAAATCTGATCATAGATTTCTGGGTTCATAGTTCCAACAATTTTTACATAATGTTTACAAGACTACCAACATTACTGGATGAAATGCAGCAGCAAACCATGACAGACTCACCCCTAGTCACCACCAGTGTTGGGACTAACGCGTTATTAAGTAACGCGTTACAGTAACTACGTTATTATTGTGGTAACGAGCATCGGTAACTAGTTATTATGCCAAAATCAGGAACGCGTTACTCGTTACTGGGATTTAGATAGGGTCGTTACTCGTTACTTCGTGTGGTGGCTATCGCGGAGCTTCCACAGATTCAGTAACATTAGCAAGTGGTGGAGGCCAGCAGGTGGATGAAGGAAAGGACGCAGAAGGAAAAGAGACCCGAGGCGGCCGCCGGTCCAAGTGTGAACTGAACTTCAGGTAAGAAGTTATGACCTGCAGTCTCTCTGGGTCAGATATGAACCAAGTTTAGGTGGAGTTTATTTTCGTTATGCTGACTTTTTCCGTACTGCGTGCTAGCTAGCATGACGGAGTTTCTATACAGCTGGGTGGTGCTATGAAGTTAATGATGTTGAACTTTATTTTGTTC